GGGGGAGCTGACAGCTGGACTTTGTGAAGGTGAAGAGAGAAAAAAGGAGGACCAGCACAGAGAGAGGGTCTGCCATTTGCCAGGCACTGTGCTGGCTGCTTTCCAACAGTGTTGAGTAAAGAAGTGTGTTTCCGCACAGTGTTCCCTCCATCCCCATCCCCAGGTGGGCAAGTGCAGAGGGGCAAATATGTCCACGGCCTGGTCAGTGGATCGCATGTGCACGGCTGGAGCAGGAGGCCTGTGCAGGGGGTGGCGGGGGGAGAGGTGGCTGAAGGTCATACTGGGTCAGCCTCTACTTAAAGCCCTTCGACAGTCCTCCCTGCCCACAAGGGGCCCTGGCTCATAGGCACGGCAGCTAAGGCCACTGTCCTGTCTAGACTCATCTCTCACCCTGCCTCTCTCACTTTATTCTCCAGCCATCCCAGACACTCCTGGCTCCCCCACTCACCATGCTACTTCTCACCTCTGTGGTCTGCCTGTGCTGACCCCTCTGCCTGCAACACTGACCCCTCCTCACACAGCTGACACTTGACCCACTCAGAGCACCCCTCCTCGGAGAGGCTTTCCTCATCCTGGGTCTAGGTTACACACCCTCAGTGTTCTCAAAGCCCTGTTCACAGTCCCTCCCCATCGGGTTACCGTGAGGATTCAGTAAAGTGTGGCACACAAACAGTGGCCCAGCGCTTCTCAACACTGCTGTGAGCGAGGCTCTGGATGCTGTGCTCTGAGTATCCATGTGGGGGTCTGCTTCCCCCGCTAGACCAGGCTCCTTGCAGGGAGGGGCTGTGCATGATTCCCCCTCCATGTCCAGCACCTCTATGGCCAGCACACAGAGGATGCCCAGTAAGTACTGAACGAATGAATGGAAGGTAGTGTTTGGATTGAATTGTGTCCCCCTCCAACCCGACCAAATATGTTGGAATCCTAACCCTTACACCTGTGGATGTAATCCCATTTGAGAATAGGGTTTTCTTTGTTATGTTAATGAGGTGATATCAGTGTAGGGTATGTCCTAAACCTGATCACTTATGAGTTATAAAAAGAGCAGCAGAGACACGGGGGCGGGGCTGGGGGGAGCACGAACTGGTGGAAGACAGATGCCATGTGAAGATTGCCAAGAACCCGATGAAAGTTGGGGTTACAGAAGCTGAGACAAGGACCTTCCCCCAGAGCCAAGAGAGAACCTTCCTCTAGAGCCAGCCCTGAATTGGGACTTCTAGCCTCCTAAACTGTGAGAAAATAAATTTCTGTTCTTTAAAGCCATGCACTTGTAGTATTTCTGTTATAGTAGCACCAAGAAACTAAGACAGGTGGGCCTCGAATGCTAAGCCAAGGAATTTGGACTTCATCATGTGACCACAGAAGGTGTGTGTGACATGGTCGAGGGCTTCATCTGGCAAGGGTGTGCAGGAGAGGGGAGCCAGGAGACCCGTGGATGTTTGCGACATGCCACCTCTTTGGGAAATGCATATGGCCTCCCAGGGGGACTTGACTGAAGAGGACAACCGTCATTCACAGGTGTAAATTCTAGTGTGTGTAGTGTGTGGGGGGCACACACAGCAGTGGGAATTAGAAGACGTGGATCTGTCAATAGCTCTGGGCAAGCTGTTGTCCCCTCTGGGCCCCAGTCTCCTGATCTGTAAAGTGTAAGAAGGGGAGCACCAGTTGGTGTCTATGAGCCTCAGAGTAGAGACGGGTTTTGCTGGTTCCTGACCTTGTCCACCCTCTCATCACACTTGGCAGCAGGAGGCTGAGCTACAAGCCTGGGAACTGGCTGGCAGGAAGGCAGCATGAAGCTGGAGGAAGCTGCAGGCTGGAGCTGACAGGTACCTCACATATCTCTGGCCGCCAGGGAGAATCTGGACTTGCCACTTCCCTTTCATTGAAAAAAAGTGTGCATTCAGGCCATGGACAGGAGGACAAATTACTCCAGAGGCCACCTGGAGGGGCTGGTGACCCTCCTTGACTACTCTCTCAGCTCTAAGTGGTTCTGCTAGGGTTGGTCTCGTCTGTGCCTGGGTGACATACGAGCCTGGTGGGTTTATCCTGGCGGCAGGGAGGGTCTTAGCTCAGCTCAGGTTCAAGGAGGAGTGGGCAGCAGGCAAGACCAGAGGCCTGGACACCGAGGAGACAGCCCCTTTCTCCCTTCACCTCTCTAAGCTGCAATTTCTGTGGCTGCAAATGGGTTAAAACAGTCTTTGCCTGTCCTGTCTACAGACTTGTGCTGAGGACTCAAGGAGAGAAAAAAAATGGGAACACACTTAGTTTATGGAAGGTGGTAAAGTTATCATCTGCTGAAAAAATATACATGCATCAAAACAAAACAAAACCCCACATACAAAACGCACAGATGCCCTGAAATGACCCCGGGTACCAAAGCCACGGAAGAGGAAGACAGGCACCCAGATGAGCAGGGGCTTATCACCTCCCCACTGCTCTTTAGCAGGCCACGGATTCATATTTTATTAATATGAAGCCAATTTCCATATGTGACCTACTTTGCCCAGACCCGCATCCCCTGGCACAGCCTGAAATGAAAAGAAAATGATGCTTCCCAGCAGGGGTTCCCCTCTAATTTGCCAAGGTAACTGTTTAGGCTGGGAAGCCACACCCCTGTCACTTCTTTTTATGGGTCTTACTGCATTGTCCTCAAGCAGCTAAGGCCAGCAAAGTAGTTTCTCTCTTTACCCAGTCTGGTCTTGCAATTAAAAGCAGTAACAGTTACTGAACTGTCTTCTCCCATGGCCATAATCTGTAATTCAAACCTTCATTTTCCTCCCAAATTTCTGGATTTGGCAATGTGTTTTGGTTAAAAATACTCTGTACTTCTATAAGTGGCTTTTGCAAGAGGACACTTGGGAACGAGGTCACCACTGAGGAAAATTCCTGGGTCGGATTTTCTGGGCCTCCCAGGCCTACAAGATGCTAGATGTTTGGGGTTGGGAAGGATAGGCCTCTGCTGCTCCTCCACAGCACCTCTGCCGGCCGCTGTCCTCCAGGCCCTGCTTGCTTACCTACAGTGGGGGAGCGCTCCTTCCCTGTTGGGACGGCCCATACCACCTTTGGAAGACTGAACTGCAGTCTGTTTCCTGCGGCTTCTGACCATCACTCACAGGCCCTCTCCGCGGTGCCAAAGAACACACCTCACTCTCTTCTCCCAGTGGCTTTCCAGAGACATGGAGGCCACATGCCCTCCCCACATCACCTCTTTTCCAGATATACATAGTGAGACAGTCAGGAACATTCTGGAGGGGTTTCTTCCCCTTTGCACGCTTCTTCAAATAATATCTGACATCTGGACCACACCCACCACTGCTTAGGGCCTTTCCACCATTTGGAGCTGAGGTAGAAGAGTATCATTACTCCCATTTTCCAGGTACAGAAACTGAGTCTTGGAGAGTTTAAGTGGCTTGGCCAGTTAGTGGCAGAACCAGGATTATGGCTTGGGTTTCCACTACACTGATTAATAAATTGATTAACTCAACAGATACTGATTGCATGCTGGGTACTATTTGGATCTGAGGATACAGCAGGGCACAAAACCGACCAGGGCCCTGATCTAAGGAGACATCGCTCGCGGGGGGAAGCCCACTCCGCGCTGCCTTCTCTCAGGTGCTGATGTGGTTGCCCCTTCTTTAACTGGTCAGGCCTGTGTTGGTGGGCTTGCCCGCCAGAGGGCTCAGGTGCGTACCCTGAGGGTGTCAAGTTCCTTCTCCAGGGCTATCTCCTACCTGGAGTGCCCCACCCCACTTTTCTCCACTCGCTTGCCTTCTGGATCCCACCCCGGTGATCACAGGGCTCTCAATGGCTTCTGGGCTGTTCCATGAGGTATAGCTGCTTTGTTTCTCTGTGCACCGTAAGGTTAAGAGCTTGAAATTTAGAGCAAGCACCAATAAACCAGTCGCTGTCGAGTTGATTCTGACTCATGAGGACCCAATGTGTGTCCGAGTAGAACTTGTGCTCCATAAGGTTTTTAGTGGCTGATTTTCCAGAAGTAAGTTGCTAGGGCTTTCTTCTGAGGCACCTCTGGGTGGACTTGAACCGCCAACCTTTTCGTTAGCAGCCAAGCTTGTTAACCATATGCACTGCCCAGAGATTCCAGAGCAAGCACACCAGGGTTTAAATACCAGCACCACTCTCTACCTGTGAAACCTTGATTAAGAATCTCAACCTCTCTGTTTCTAAATTGCTTCATCCAGGGGCAGATTAACCAGTGAGCAAGGTATACATGGGCTTACATTAACCAAGGTATGCACAGGCTTACTTGTGTTTATTTACTAATCTGTAGTGCAAAGTTTCACATGGGTTTCACCACATTTTTTTTTGACGTGGTGAGAAACAGGTGAAATTGTGCACTACAGATTAGTAAATAAGCATTAAGTACACCTGTGTGTACCTTGCTTATTGGGTAATCTGTCCCTGGCTTCATCTGAACACTGGAGATAACAGTACCTACCTCAGAGGGTTGTTGTGAGGATTAGATGACCTCATATAAATCCCTTTCACAAGTAAAGTGCTTAGTACGGTCCTTGGCACACAGTGAGGCTTCAATAAATGCTAACCATTATTATGATTTTATTATTGGTACCCTGACTCCCCAACCACATGATCACAGCTGCACTGGGGCATAAACAAGGTCTTACGTGGCCTTTGTACAAGCCTAGCACTTAGTCGTGCCATGAGATCTAGTGGAGGGGTGGACAGTCTGGCATCGGAGATCCAGGATTATGTCCTGGCTCCACCCCTTACTTTCTGTGTCACCCTGTACAAGCTACTGGGAGTCTCAATTCTTTACCTAAAAGGTGGGACTCACACCCCCACCTCACAGGGTGGTCTGGGCACTAACAGTCATGTACTGTGTTTTGTGAACTGAAAGCTGCACACATTTTTAACTCGAGAGTATGATGCCGGCCCCACTGTCAGCTCTGGGAACACAGGCCTATCTGCACAGCCCAGTGACAGCAGCCAGGCTCAGCAAAAATGGCCTTGGATCCTCCTAGCTTCCCTTCGAGGGGAACAAGCGTGCAAAACATTATGTGCTGTTTTCGAGAGTCCCAAAGAAGTCGTGGGCTGCAGCTCTGATGGGACGCTGAGGTGGCCCTCCCGGGTCCCAACACCTATACTCTTGAATTTCAGAATCCAGTATCAGCATCACTAGGAGAGTTTGCTAAAAATGAAAGACTGTGACTCAGAGGGTCTGGGGAGGGTCTGTGGGATCTGTGTTTGACTGGAAACCCAGGGATTCCTGTCCAGGTGGGTCAGCCCCCGCACCCCAGACCTGTCTCAGGGCTCTGCATATGTCTGTGCTCCACACACACTCACAGCCCGTTGGTGATCACAAGAATGCACACACAAATGAAAGACATCAGAACAGCAGGAGCCCCTGCCCCTGCCTAAGAACCTGGCTCCCCCCCGGAGCCTCACATATCACAGACACTCTGATCATCATGCACCATCTGTTGAGGACCACGCAGGCCGGATGCAGCAAACCAACGATGATAATCTCCACTCTGGTTCAGGAGTCCCTCGGGCCCCAGCTCTGTGTAGTGAAGCCTGGGGCAAAACAGAGCAGGCTTGTTTCCGAACCCTCTGGGTCAGGGCGGCCTCCTGGGCCTCTCAGCTCAGCCACAGGACTACTGGCACCGCATCCTTGCCATTTGCCTCTGTGGCACCCAATAGCCAGGTAGCCTCTTGAGCCGTGAAATACAAGCACTGTTATTCTCATTTTGCAGGAGAGGAAATCAAGGCTGAAAGACATAAAGTGAGCCCTTGCTTCTGCCACAACTCCTGGAACTGGAGGTAGGGGAAAGGGAGAGAGGTCTTTCTTTGGGCAGAGGCAGTGGAGGTGGTGGGGGCTCTGGAGAGGTTTTGGGAGGTCCCTAGAGTCAGGGCCCATGGAGTTTGCCACCACCAATCCCGCTGACCATGACCACATGATGAGGGCTTTGTTAGGAGGTCGAGGCTAGAGCTGCTACCTACTTCTCCTGGAGCCAGGCTTCTCAACAGGGGCACCGATCCAGGGAACCTGGGAGACTTTCTAGTGCTCTTATGGCTGAGCACCCCCATACCCCGATTCTGTTTCAGCGGTGGGGCTGGGGCTAGTCAATGATGCTCCAAAGATGAGTGACCTGGTTGAGAAACAAGCCTCTGAACAGAGAGCAACAGGAAGTTCTGGGGCTGACTCTTGTAGGTTTAAGATGAAAACCAGTTACCATTGAGTCTATTCAGACTCATGGTGACCCCATGTGTGTCAGAGTAGAACGGTGCTCCAGAGAGTTTGCAATGGCTAATTTTTCCAAAGTAGATTCTTCCAAGGTGCCTCTGAACCTCCAACCTTTCCGTTAGCAGCTGAATGTGTTAACTGTTTAAGAGAACAGCTTAAGATACTGTGGTGTGATTAATTACTTTTGTGTGTGGCCTTTCTAGCCATGGTCTTGTAACTCCCACCCAGTTGATTGTGTGATAGGGTAACTGTAGTCTACAAGAGGACTGGTCAGTTTTGCCTTAAAAGAGAGCCAATTCCAGAGTAGAGGGGAGAAGTCCACCTCTACCAAGGAAGGAGAGACCAGCAGGAGAGACTCGGCAGCAGGAGACAGCGTGGTGAGCTTCCCGGCCCACGAAAAGAGAAAGCTGAGTGCCTTTGGGTAGAGACTGAGGGCCAGGGAGAGGTGTGCCTGCAAGCACAGCTGGGGAGAGGCTGTCCTGATAGAAGAACTGTATCTTGAGTGTTCTTGAGCCTGAATTGTAATTGCTACTTCCCTAATAAACCCCATAATCGTGAGTATGGTCTGTGAGTTCTGTGTGGCCACTGCAATAAATTATCAAACTCAGCAGAGAAGTAGAGAGTGCTGTGTGAGGGATGGTTGGTGTCAGAATTAGTAAAGATAGTAGAAGGAGGAGTCATGTCTGACCTCTGCCTCATGGGAATCAGCCTTGGGCTGTTGATCTTGATTCTCCTTTCCCCTTGTGAAGCTAGAGGGGGTCAGCACTGTCCTCAAGCCATTTTTACAGACACCCAAAAAAACAAAAACAAAAAATTCATTGCTGTCAAGTCCATTCTGACTTATAGCAACCCTATAGGACAGTAGAACTGCCCCATAGGGTTTCCAAGGAGCAGCTGGTGGATTCAAACTGCTGACCTTTTGGTTAGCAGCTGAGCTGTTAACCACTGAGACACCAGTTAAACCCTTACTTATTTATTTATTTTTTAAATTAAGGCTGGGCATGGGGGAACCAGAACAAAATGGCTGGGAGAGGTTGCATGGTCTCTCTTGGAGCCATTTCTGGAGTAGACAACTCTATTCTGGAATATTCCCAAAGGTTTGGGAGATAATGAAGGTGGCTTCAGTGGGCACCACAAGGATTGAAAGCTTAGTATCGACGGAAGGCAGGAGGCAGCTTGTGTGGGAGGATGCACGGGGTGGGGTTTATTAATAAATGGTAGCCATTGCATCAGCCACAACAGGAAGTGATCACAACCATTAAAAACCCCAAGATCCTTAGAAGACAGGTGGTATCCAGCAGCATGGAGTAAATATCTCACTGGAATGTGCCTCTGATAAATGCACTGACACCGGGCCAGGGGCGCATCAGCAGGCATTGGGTGGACACAGCCTGTGCAGGCGCCAAGACAGTGAGGGGCAGCACATTTATACTCACGTTGCACCCAGTTCCCACTCACTGGGCTGATGAAGTTGGGGTAGAGGCCAAAAGGCTTATCAATCTTCCGGAGGACCTTTCGGATGTTCCTGACCTGCCAAGAGAGGGACACCAGGTACACCTTCACTGACCGAGTCCCAGCCACCGAGGACAGCTGGTTTGGACTCAGAGGAAATCATTTCTTACCAGGCAAGAATGAGCAGCAGGCTCTCTCTGCCTGGAGGCGGTGAGACAGCCTTGCCCTGGTGCCCATGTGCAGGACGCGGCATTGGTAAGGCCTGACCCGGCACCTCTCCACTGTGCTGTGTAGGACCTACCAATCTCCACCCAGGCCCACTGTCCATCAGGCCCACCACCATCCCCCTCACCTCACCTCTTCCTTATTGCATATCACTTTGGGGGATGACTCCTTTTTTTGAGGGGAGGTTTCATATAAGTGACAGTAGCTCATTTGTAAGTGTTAAGATAAAATTGCCTTTTTAAAATAGGCCCCAAATGGTCAAATAAAATTCTCCCTTGGTATCCACAGGGGACTGGTTCCAGGACCCCCTGGGATACCAAAATCTGCAGATGCTCAAGTCTCTTATACAAAATTGCGTAGTATTTGCATATAACCTACGCAATCCTCCCGTATACTTTAAATCATCTCTAGATTACTCATAATACCTAATATGATGTAAATGCTAAGTTAGTAGTTGTTATACTGTATTGTTTAGGGAATAATGACAAGACGAGAGGTGAACAATGCTCCAACAATGAGTGCTGGAGTAAGACTGAGGATCTGTGAAATGGCAGGAGGCTACAGCAGGGAATGTCTACACATCGCGTCACCGGAGTGCATCCAGCGTAGTGCTCAGTGCACAGCAAATTCAAGTTTTGCTTTTTGGAAATGTATTTTCTCCTTTTTCCAAATGTATTTGATCCATGGTTGGTTGAATCCGCAATTGGTTGAATCTGCGGATGTGGAACCCATGGATACCGGGGGCCAACTGTATTGGCAATTTCACATGGTTCAACTTTGTTGTTACGTGCCATTGAGTTGATTCTGACTCATAGTGACCCTCTTATGACTGAGTAGAACTGCCTCATAGGGTTTCCTAGGCTGTAACCTTTATGAGAGCAGATCATCAGGTCTTTTCTCCTGTGGAGCCACTGGTGGGTTCTAACTGCTGACTAGTAATATGTCATTTTATCTGACACCGTAAGAACCATTTTGAGGAAAGGCCTGGGGTCCTGAACACCCTTGTGCCTGAACAGGCATTTCAGGTCTTAATAATACTGATGATAACAATGACAACAATAGCTATTAACATTTATCACACAGTCCTCTGAGGCAGACCCTTTATACACATTATCTCCAAGCCTCATTACAACCTATAAGGCGCTATCATCTCAGATGAGAAACCCAAATCTCAGGTTCGGTGATGCCCACAGTCACTCGGTTGACAAGCAGCAGAGCCAGGATGTGAGTCAGGTCTGTCTTACCACATTGACTGCGTCCCCTGCACCACCTGGAGCTGCCCCGGCCCAATACAAATCAGGGAGGTGGCCAGAGGCTGCCCTGGCCAAAGCAAGAAGAGGCTGGATTTGCAACCTTTGGGGCACTGAAGGACAGGAAGCCCATTCCATAGGCTTTATCCATAGGCATCTGTTCTCTGGTGGTACATTAAATCCTACCCAGTACAGAATTCACCAGGGAGAGAGAGGTCCCTGGGCTGGTACTGTATCATGCTAACAGATTTATCTACAAGGCAAGGAGCAGGGGAGGCAGCCTTTTAGCTGTCAGCCCTATCTTTCCAGATAGCACTTTGCTTTGCCACATCAGATTTCATATCCATTCATGTTAACAGAGTCCATTATGGGGGACAGGAATGTGTTTGTACCTGAGTTATTCTTGAATGTCCTGTTGATGAGCAGTGAAGCAGGCTAAATGAGCTCCCCAGGAGGGTGTGGGAGCTTCTAGAATTTGGGCCAATTTGTTGACTGCCAATAATCGCCTCTGAGGGAAGCATGATTGGGGGATGAAAATAGCTGGAGAATGTAAATGGAGAGAGAGAGAGAATGAGAGACAGAGAGGTGGATGGACTCTCGAGAAACCTTTCGTTAGCAAGCCTGAAGCCCTCTGCACTCATCTGGTCTGGAAGGCAGAGGCTTCAGAGCCAACAAGCCCTCGACTTGACTCCTGACTTTAGCACTTTACCAGCTGGATGACCCAGGGCAAGTTATTTAGCCTCTGTGCTTCTCCGTTGCCTCTATAAAATGGGGGCAACAGGAAGACCCACCTCATAGGGCTGTTGGGAGCATTTAGAGATATAAGGCGCCCAGCACACAGTAGGTGTACAGGCAGTGGTCACTATTATTTCCAGATCAACCAGGGACTAGAGTGAGTTCCTCACCCCATTCCATTCTGAGCTGGTCAGAATCTTCCCAGAGGAGTTTGGCTCAAGAGCAATGGAAGTTGGGAGGGTGGGGGATGGGAAGGCAGGGGCTTTGAAGTGGGGAAAGGGATCAGAAAATAAGACACACTGGGAGCAAGAATTAAATGTATTCCACGAGGTTTCAAGGTAGGGCGTTGCAGGGAGGCAGAGTCCCCTCAATATAAGGAAAAGACTTCTGAAGGAAGGAAAAGATTTCTGAAGGAACGAAAGCCTGATAGTATGATGGACTATTTGAGGGTGGGAGTGAGCTTCATGTCAGAGGGAGTAATCTAGAAAGAAAACTTGGGTGGATTCCTACACTGGGTAAGCATTAGTCTCAAACTGCGAGTCAAAAAGCACTTGGATGCTAATTAAAAATGCAGACTCCCAGGTCTGGGAATTCCTGGGCCCAGAGATCTTTTTAACAGGTATGCCAGATGATGCTTTGTGGCTTGATGGATACTGGGAACCAATGGACAGAGGTGGGAACCTATGATCTCCCAGCTCCCTTCCCATTCTAAGAGGCTAACATTCTGGGGCAGGTGGGAGGGCTTTGGAAGTGGGGCCTAGAAAAGGTTCTTCCTGCAGGGCTCTGGAGGTTAGGGCTCCCTCTGGCCTCAGCAGGACTCGGGAAGGGACAGCTGTTGATGGAGCCTGAGTGCCACTCTGAGGGTCAATATGCAACCATCTGTCCCTTCTTTGGCTTAGGGGTAGGCCTAAGGAGACACTTCTGGACAGTGGAGACTGCCACAGGCTGAGAGGCCGAGGCTCTGCCCCTCCTGTAGGGGTTACAGAGGGGCCAGGTCCAGGTGTATGCCAGGATTGGATGGTGGCCTGGATCTACCTCTCACCACCCCATGAGGCCTCAGACAACACGGCTGCAGGCAGCCCCATCAGTCACAGCAAGAAGGAGCAGACTGCATCTACTTTTGAGGGAGCCTCCCTGCCAGGCTGCCGACAGCATGAGCTAGACCGGCATCTGGAAGGAACAGGCAGGCAGACCACACGTGACAAAGTTAAATGTCCCTGGAAAGGGGACTTTTTGCACCGGGTGGCCAATTACTGCCAATGTGAGATGATGCCTAGACTTCAGTTGCTCCCCTTTCTTGGGATTTCACACATGTGTTATTGCCACCGAGCTGACACCTATCAGTGAAAACCTTCTCCCTGGCAGAGCTGCCTCTTCCCTGCCTTCAGTAGAATCCTGATTACTCCCTGTGCCCACCTTCCTGGCCACCTGGCATCAGGTACAATGAGATCTCCCGCAAATTACTATTTACTACAGTAGTGGTGGCTCGGGCGGCTCCTGGGTTCCCCGCCCGCCAGCTGAGTGCTCGTCCTTCTGCTTGCAGCAGGGAGGAGAGGGCACTGTTTTAGGAAGGAGCAGCGGGGGAGACTTGCCTTTTCGGCGAAGACCTGGTTGCCAGAGAGCTCGGTGAGGTGTAAGAACTCCAAATGCAGGGATCCAAACTCAGCCAGGATGCTGCTGCTCCCTGCCGTCGCCCAGCCCCAGCTTCCATTGGAGCCGCTGAAAAGACAGAAGCAGCCGCCATCACCCTCTGCTGGCCTGGCTCATGCCTGCCTCCGCTGAGAGTAACAGCAACTTACTGGGAGAGCACTTACTATGTGCCAGGCACTGTACTAGGTGCTTACGTCACACAACCTCAGGTAATCCGCCCTGTGGGGTCAGTAGCATTAATAGCCCCATTTTCCTGATGAGGAAACTGAGGCTGGTGAGGTGGAGTGACCTGCTGAAAGGCACTTGAACCCAGGCCTGCCTGACTTTCAATGGTCTTTGTTTTTACCACTGGCCACCACTGCCATTGAGTCGATTCTGACTTGCAGCGACCTGACAGGGCAGAGTAGAACTGCCCTATGGGGTTTCCAAGGCTATAAGTCTTGATGGAAGCAGACTGCCACATCTTTCTCCAGTGGAGCAGCTGGTGGATTTGAACCGCAGACCTTTCAGCAGACCTTTCAGTTAAGCAGTTGAGCACTTAACTGTTTCACCACCAGGGCGCCTTCTCCCATCAGGGAGTCCCTGTCAAACTTGGGGATTCAACAAGGGCAGCAGCAGAGCTGCCTTGTTGGCCAAGAACTGGCAACAAATGATGCTTGACTTACAGGTTACATCGGTCATGCTATCAAGGGCCACGAAGACCCCACAGAAGTCTCTGTGGATGTGCTCTGGCTGAAGGCCTCCGATTGCTCCCCATCACTATTTCTGCATACAGAGGTAAACGGGGCTGTGGCTCAGGACCCCGTGGGGGCAGGTTAAACGACAGCACCGGGGACGGGGCCCTGCCTAGCCCTTGCCTTCTCCCCACAGCCGGCAGTGCTGCCCAAGGACACAACAATGGCCCCGGCCTTGACTTTTGCAGAACCTACACCTGCCGGCTGGCAGCCCTGGTGTGGCCTGGGGAGGCCCTCGGTTACGGGTGAAAGAAGCAGGGGCCCTAGGAGCAGAGGTGTCCTACCCGTTGACCACATGCTTCCCAAGAACACCTTGGACAAAAGCATTAGGTATCACCATTATGGCCCTGGAACCTGGCTGCAGAAGGCTGTCAAACACTGCCATTTACCGGGAGCATTCCAGAAGTAAGAGTTGGGGCAGGACCCCATTTAATCCTCACACCTGCCCCTTCTACAGATGAGGAAAACATGTAAGTCACCTGCCTGAGTTAGATAATAAGTGGAGCAGCTGGGGCCCCAAGGTGGCTCTGTTGCCAGTGCCTGACCTAACCACAGCACAGCCTGCCTCTCTTTTATTTCATTTTATCTTTTAGCCTGCTTCCCCTTTAAATATATAACAGTAAGCAAGGGCACTGTCTTTCCAGGTCTCCTCCCTTAAAATCTCCCCGGGGTCTGGAGGCAGAAGGCGCAGGGTCAAGTGGTTGCTGGCCAAAAGGACTGGGCAAACCACTTCCTCTTCGTAAAACGGGGTTAGGGTAACGTCTCCTAGTCTTCATGCCTAGGGCCTTTGTGAGGATTAAGGGAAACTGCTTAACCTCCTTGTGCCTCAGTTTCCTCATATGTATCGTGAGTATCTTTCCTGTGGGAGGTTTAGGGCAAACAGGGGGACCAAGGAGGGGAGAGGGCAGGGTGGAGTGATCCCTCCCATTTGTAAGGGCTCCAAGGTGCAGTTAGTGTGGGGCAGGGGAAGGGGGCTGGCTCTGCCCGGGGACTGCTGAGAAGCCCCCCTGCCTCCTAGCTGGTGATAGTTCTGACTTCCCAGGCACTGGCCCCTGTCTGTCCCTCTGTCTCTCAAGGACAGGACCTAGGAAGGCAGGCTTGGGGGTGGGGGGGCAGGTCTGGGAGGTCACTACTGCCTGAGGGGCACTGCTTTTTCTGGGGTGGGGCTGGGGGCTCCCCTGAGGCTACCCCTCTCCTCTTTAAACTCCACTCTCAGGCCCAGATGTGGCTTCCAAGAGAGTAGGGAAGCCTATCAGTCTCCCAGCTCCTGAACCAGATGGAGGAGGTAGGTTTTGAGATCTTTGGGGGCAGGTGACCTCAACAAACCTAGTGACAAACACTGCCTCCTTCATCCTGTCTCTACTTCCCTGGGAATTTCCCTGACCTGGGGGCAGAGGGCAGGTGGGGAAGGATGGGATGACAGGACAATGGCTTCTGGGTAATAATAAATAAAATAGCTTAAGTTCATTGAGCCGCTACAATGTGCCAGGTATGGGGGCAAGCAGTCTGCATCATTACTTCATTTAAAGTGCAGAAGGTAAAGCATCATTAATCCCAATATGCAAAGGGGGAAACTGAGGCTCAGGGAGGGAAATGAGTTGTTCAAGGTCACAGTGCTGGTGTGTGGTAGAGGTAGAGTCAGCTGGACCCAGAGGCTGTGGGAGTCCTCCCACCCAGATCCTCTCACACTCACCAGAGGGAAGGGAGAGCTGTCCCCTCTTGGTCCCTCCTCCCTAGGCCAAGCCAACTTCTCTCTCCAGTCTGTGATCTCAGTGGGAGCCCAGGTACCCAGAGGGGGTTTCCTGAATAATTGATGCTTCCTGCCCTCAGAGGGAAGTTTAAGGTAAAAAAAAAAAAAAAAAAAAAGCCACAATCACCAGCCCAGGTGTCTTTTGTTCTCATTTCCTCTGCCACCAGGGCCTCTCCTTCCTTTCTCCCGTCCCCACCTTCCTCAGTGGGCTTCTGTAGTGGACCTGCCCTAGCAGACAGGCGGAGCCAGCCCTGGGCAGAGGCAGGCAGGTGGCTTGGTGGCACCATTCCTCTCTCCCATCCCACTCCCAGCTGTGTGACCTCAGGCAGTTGGTTAACTTTCCGAGACCTCAGTTTCCTCATCCGTTAAATGATGTTGCCCACACCTAAGAGAGTTACTGTAAGGTATAAATTAGGCTTGTAATTATTGTCCTTCTTATTATTATGTAATTATGTACATGTAAATTATGCTGCTGTTTGTTACTGTGGTTATTAAATTCCTCATATGTGCCAGGCAGCGGCAATGACATCTTATTTCACCTTCAAACCCAACTTCAGAGGTAGATACCTTGATCCTTCCTTCATAGGTGAGGATACTCAGGCTCAGAGATGGGGAGACACTATTCTAAGGTTACACAGACAGTAGTGGTAGAGCTGAATCCAAGTCCAAATCCTAGGTTCTGTTACTGTGCCCTGCTGGCACCTGCCCCCGAGTGCATCTGCTCTGGGCAGAGTCCCAGAGACCACGAGGTCCTCTGGTAAGCCTGCTGAGCCAATGGGTTAATGGAAAGCTGCTGCCCTCGCCTCCCAACTCTGTGTGCCTTTTAAGCCTGCAAGTGGGCCTGGTGGTGGTTTCTCCCCTCCACAACAGCGCGCCCCATCCCCAAACTGGCTGAAGCGTCTATGCTGCGTGCGTTCATGCGTGTGACATAATCGTTAACTTTGGAGACAGAGACCTGGATTCTAATTCTAACTTTACTTCCTGACTACGTGACCTTGGGTGAGTTACCTCACCTCTCTGAGCCTCCATTTCTTCACTGGTAAAATGGGGCCCCCAACGTATCTGCCTCATATGGTTGTGAGGGTGAAAAGAAGAGAATCCGTGAGAGAACATATTAAGTGCCTGTTTGTGCGTGAATGTGTGTGATAAAGGCAAGCATGTATACCTGAGTGTTTACGGCTTGTGTGGGTGGCAGTAGAGTATATACTGGGTTATTATTTTTGCTTTATCAATTTTTTGGTGGTAAAAAATAGATATTACAAAGCATTTACCAATTCAACAATACTTACATGTACAATATAATGACATTGATCACGTTCATCATGTTGTACAACCATCACCACAATCCTTTTCCAAATTATTCCACCACCATTAACAGAAACTCACTGTCCCCTAAGCAATGACTCCATCTCCCCTCCCTCCCACCACTGTAACCACTAATAAACTTTGGTCTCTATATATTTGCCTATTTCAAGTAAGTGGGATCATACGATATTTGTCCTTTTATGTCTGACTTATTTCACTCAACATAATGTTTTCAAGGTTCATCCATGTCATAGCATGTATCAGGATTTCATTTCTCTTTATGGCTGAGTAATATTCCAATGTACATACATACAATACTGTGTTTATCCATTGACGGACATTTAGATTGTTTCCACCTTTTGGCTATGATGAATAGTGCTGCAATGAACACTGGTGTTTAAGTGTCTGTTTCTGTTCCTGCTTTCAGTTCTTTCAGAGTGGAATTGCTGGGTCATATGGTAATTCTGGAGCCCTGGTGGCACAGTGATTAAGAGTCTGGCTGCTAACCAAAAGGCTGGCAGTTCGAATCTACCAGCCGCTCCTGGGAAACACTATGGGGCAGTTCTACTCTGTCCTATAGGGTCACCATGAGTCGGAATTGACTCAACAGCAAGTTTTTTTTTTTTTTTTGGCTTATGGTAATTCTATGTTTAACTTTTTGAGGAACCACCAAACTGTTTTCCACAGCAACTGTACCATTTTGCATTCCCACCAGCAATGGGTGAGGTGAATGCATATGTTTTTGTAAGAGTGTGAGACTGTGTATGAGAGCGACAGAGACTGATTCAGCTGCAGAGATTCTTGGACTGACCCCTGTCCCTCTCCCAGATTGTCCAGTGGTTCCTGCGGGTCACAGGTCCTGGACCACCCTCAGCCTCCCAGGTGCAGACTCCATGATACCCCTCTCCATCAGGGAGGAGGGGCAGCCCACACTCACTTGGGGACTACCTCCTCTCACTGGGGCAGGGGAGGTCACCTGTCCATCCTGCTAGGGTCCAAGCTCTAGCCCTTCCTCTCGGGGAGCAGAGACATCAGGGTGTGTCTAGCTCCCAGCAGCAAGCCCTCTCCAAATGGCAAAACCAGAGCCACACAGAATGTACACATCCCTGACATTCTCCTGAGTGGAACAGGGAGGCATTTTTAGCAACAGCCTCTCTTACCCAGAAAACGAAGGGAGGTGTTGCCAGGAAATATGCACATACATACTTATGTACCCACACTGACAGCATGCAGAGCCTAAAAATACATACACATTCTTAATCAGAAATGCCAGGGTCTGTGTTGGGTCAGCCTGTGCTCTAAGTGACATGGCGAGGCAGGTGGCAAAGTCTGGCCAACTTGTGCTTTGGGGAGTTGGCGGGGGCGGGGGGGGCAGTACCATGGCACAAAAGAGGGAGGACACCCTGCTAAGGTCCCATTCCTGACCCTGAGCAGTGAGTGCCCAGAAGCTGGACCTGGGAGAAGGAGCCAGAAGGACAGTGTGCTTGTTTCTCAGCTACCTTGAGAGGTGGCTGTTTTGCTCCAGGATCAGTGTTTGTGGAAAAGGAATGTGAGGGGAGATCCCAGCAGTCCCAAGAGCAAGATTCTATTGCCTCTGAAGGGACCCTCCCTGGCCTCCTGAGAGATATGTGAGGACCCTGGAATGCTTTCGGACCAGAGAGAGCAGGACTGTGGGTGGAGATGCAGGGTATACCAAGCCTGTGGGTGGGGTGGGATGGTAAAGCCATTGAGATTGGCATAGAGGGTGTGACTTCCTCAGGACAGAGGGAGCCACGGGCACTCCAGCCAGAGCCTAGGGCCTACCTCCCCTCCAGCGACCTCCTTCCCCTCCCAGGAAACTCTGCCTGAAACTCTTGCTGGTTAGAGAGTCCTGAGATGAGAGGTCACTTGCAGAGATGGGACAGCCAAGTCCAGTGCACTGGAATATCACAGCCTGCCTCTCAGGCTTGAGGTCTTGGAGGCCTCAGGGACGGCTCTAGAGGGCTCCTTTGATGCCTGAGGACGGGGTGCCTTCTACAGTGTTTCCCAGGGGCCCGCTGCATACAGCTCCAGGGCCAGCTAGGGCACCTAGGGACCAGGGTTCACTTCTAAGAGATAGCCAGGTAGGCGCTCAGAGCGCAGCTTTGGCATCAGTTAATAATGGGCTCAGTTCCTGGCTCTGTTACCTCTTAGCTAGCAGACCTTGGGTAAGGTACTTCATCTCTCTAGGTCTCTCTTTGAGTAGTGGGGATAATACAAATAAACCAAAAAACCAAATCTGTTGCCATCGATTTGATTCCAGCTCATGGCTACCCCACGTGTGCAGTGTAGAACTGTGCTCCATAGGGTTTTCGAGGTTGTGACCTTTTGGAAGCAGATCATCAGGTATTTCTTCCGAGGTGCCGTCGGGTGGGTTTGAACTGCCTTTTGGTACGTAGTTGAGCACTTAACTGTTTGCGCCACCCAGGATTCCATACCTACCCTCAAAGGATTGTTGTGAAGAGTGTGTTTGGTGAGGTAATGTGCAGAAACCCTTAGCACAATGCTAGGCATGTAGCAATTGCTCAGTAAGTGGTAGGAATAGTAGTCGTTGTTGTTATTGGTTTTAACCTTTTATCCCTCATACAGTGCCTAGTAAAGGGTAGGTGTCCAATGAATCCATTTGTCGAAGGAACAAAGAATTGGATGTGGACTCTGCTCCCAGGCCGGTGAGGGACAAGTGTGGCCAGGGTCATAAAGGAAGCCAGTGAAGTGCCTGGGAAGTCAGAATAGGGAAACACACCTCTGATTGTAACAGAAAAGGTGGCCTTGAGCTGCACTTTGATGGCCAGGGAAAGTGAGAGATGGCAACTGGGGGAGGGGACAGAATAAGGCAAGGCAAGCCAAGCCAGTGGGGAATTGGTGTGGGGCACCTTTGGGATTTCAGGAGCAAGACCTTCATGCTACTCAATGGATCTTAAAGCTGGCTCAGCCCCTAGTTCACTGGACTTTGACCCCATCCCTCTCCTCTCTGGGACTCAGTTGCCCCATCTAGGAAATGAGTGGGTACATTTACACTTCACCCCTGTGCGTGGAAAGCAGTGGGAGGAACAGGGCAGAGCCCCGAAGGCTCTGCAGCTGGATGAGTTGCTGCCCTGGCTCCACCCTTCTCTAGCTGTGTGATGGAGGCCCTTCCATTCATAAATTCTGTGACTTAGTGATGGCCCAGAAAGACTGTAGTTCAGATACAGAATTAAGCGACAGATTTTTTTCTTTCTTGGCAGTTGCCATCAAGTTGACTATGACTCATGGCGACCCCATGTGTGTCAGAGCAGGACTGTGCTCCATAGGGTTTTCAGTGGCTGATTTTTTGGAAGCAGATCACCAGGACTTTCTTCCAAGGCACCTCTGGGTGGACTTGAACCTTCAATCTTTCGGTTAGCAGCCAGGTACATTAACCATTTGTACCGCCTAGGGACTATCGACAGATTAGGAGGGGGAAATGATGGAAGCGGCCAATAAAAAGGGATGTTTTAAAACAGAGCCACTAGAAAGAAACATTATTGACGGCTTCTTTGACTAGCAGAACCACACATGACTTTTTTGGGTCTTATTCAAAATTTTTGGTATAATCCATACTATCAGCCAAGAGGATTTATAATTTTTATAGAGGGAGAAATTCCAGTGAATAATATTATTAAAACCAGAGTCAGAGGCCCTGGGTTCTTATCCAGGAATGGTCAGTTCCTGGCTTATGTGGCCTTGCTTGGGGCTTTCCTTGCTGGAGCCCAAGCATCAAGTCCACAGAACCCCCTTTGGGTTCTGGCACTGGGTTACCTCTGCGGGCTGGGTGTGGGATCAGTAGCAGAGGTACATCCCTCCTGAGATCAGGGTTCCTGAGTCGGCCTAGCAGCTTCGGGGACCCCTTATGGGTGGAGACTGTGATGTGCCCACTGGCTCCTGCACCCTGGCTGGGAGGGAGGGCAGCTGGAGAAACTGGTGGGCTGTGAGTCAAGACTGCTGTGAGAGGTCTACAGAGGGGCAACTGTCCCCTCCCCACCCGGGAAGACCAGGCCTTGCACGGCCTTAACCCTGAGAACCAGGTTTGGTGACGAACTCCTGCCCAGGAGAGTCCTGGCTAGGGCTGCTCTTCCTGAGACGGGTACAGTCCTCTCCCTGTGCCTCAGTTTCCACATACGTAAAACGAATGGGTTTGACTAAGGTGATCTGCAAGGGCCCCAATCCTGTTGACTTTCTAACTGCCCCCCGAGCCTCCTCCCTAGGCCCCCCACCCAGACAGATGTGCAGGTGGGAAACAAGATGGCGTCCTACCTTTTGAAGTTCACAACGCCCTTTGGGATTCCCGTGGGAGTGTTGAAGGCGGGCAGGAGTTTCTGTCCCAGCTTGATGGCTTTTATTCGGAACACCTGTAAAGGAACATTTGAAGGTATTGTGAAGTGGGGCTGGGTGGGACAGGCCACTCCAAGATGCTGCTGCTGGCTGGATAAATGCACGCACTCCCGGGACTACGGGTGTCAGGTAGCTCTGCATTAGGCCTGGCAGGCAGTCAGACAGGCCTGGATGTGAACCTGGCTCACTGAATTACTGACTGTGCGGCCTTAGGTAAGTCACTTCTCTCTGACCCCAAGATTCTTTGTCCATAAAATGGGGCTAACATTGCCTTCCTCAGAGGCTGCTGGGAGAAATGAAAATCAGGTAATACTACGATACTACTCAATGATTATCATTGTTTTTAGGGTGATCATTAGGAAGATGAAGGAAAAAGCAGTCAGGGCAGGGGAGACACCTCTAAGTCCAGACGAAGACCTGGCCAAGAGGGGGTGGGTGTACCAATGGTCGGCACCTGCCCGCACCACTGGAACCAGGATGTCATAGGCTGAGCGTGAGGGAAATGAGTGGTTACCATTTGAGTAGAGTGTAAAGACACTGGGCTGGGAGCCAAGACTCTGGGTTCTAGTTCTTGCCCCCTAAACAGGCTTCTTCGTGCTTTTCAGCAGACCACGGCCTTCCTCTGGGTGCCGGTTTCTCCATATGTAAAAAGAGGGGAAGGGCTTGATGTTTCCAAGGGTCTTCCCACTTTGATATTCTTATTCTGCCCATTGTTCCCATTTTACAGATGGGGTATGAAGCGACAGGGTGAATGGCTTATCCCAAGCCATACACACAATATCAGGGGAACCATAAAGAGGTCCCAAGTCTCAGGGCTCCTCACGAGACTCTGACCCCTTAAACTGTTCATCTGAGATGCCTGATTAACTCAAAAGGGCCCATGACCTTCTCATTCAGCAGTTTCCCTCCTAGGAATTTATTCTAAGGAAATAATAAAATAAAGACTTAACTTTATGGCTATTTATTCTGTTGCTGTTGTTGTTAGGTGATGTCAAGTCAGTTCCGACTCATAGTGACCCTGTGCACAACAGAATGAAACACTGCCCGGTCCTGCACCATCCTCAAAATCGTTGCTATGTTTGAGCCCACTGTTGCAGCCACTGTCAAGCGTCTTCCTCTTTCTTGCTGACCCTCCACTTTACCAAGCATGATGTCCTCCAGGGACTGGTCCCTCCTGATAACATGTCCAAAGTACACGAGACAAAGTCTTGCCATCCTTGCTTCAAAGGAGCATTCTGTGGAATTTTTTAATTTTATTGTTGTGCTTTAAGTGAAAGTTTACAATTCAAGTTAGTCTCTCACACAAGAACTTATACATACATTGTTATGTGACCCTAATTGCTCTCCCTTTACTGTTACAGCACATTCCTCCTTTCCACTCCTGATTTCCCGTGTCCATTCAACCAGCTCCTAACACTCTCTGCCTTCTCATCCCACCTCTGGACAGGAGCTGCCCGTTTAGACTCATGTATCTACTTCAGCTAAGAGGCACACTCTTCACAAGTTTTCATTTTATGTCCCACAGTCCAGACTAATCTTTGAAGAGTTGGCCTCGGGAATGGTTTTAGTACTGGGTTTACAGAGAGTCCGGGGGCCATGCTTTCTGGGGCTCCTCCAGTCTCAGTGAGACCATTAAGTCTGGTCTTTTTACTAGAATTTGAGTTCTGCACCCTACTTTTCTCCTGCTCCATCAGGGACTCTCTGTTGTATTCCCTGTCAGGGCCGTCACTGGTGGTAGCCAGGCACCATCTAGTTCTTCTGGTCTCAGGCTGATGCAGTCTCTGGTTTATGTGGCCCTTTCTGTCTCTTGGGCTAATACTTCCTTGTGACTTTTGGTGTTCTTCATTCTCCTTTACTTCAGATGGGTTGGGACCAACTGATGCATCTTAGATGGCTGCTTGCAAGCTTTTAAGACCCCAGATGCCACTCACCAAACTAGGATGCAGAACATTTTAATAAACTTCGTTATGCCAGTTGACCTAGATGTCCCCTGAAAGCATGGTCCCCAGACCTCTGCCCCTGCTACTCTGTCCCCAAAGGAACATTCTGGCTGTACTTTTTCCAAGACAGATCTGTTCATTCTTCTGGCAGTCCACAGTATATTCAGTATTCTTCATCAACGCCATAATTCAAAGGCATCAATTCTTCTTCAGTCTTCATTATTTACTGTCCAGCTTTTGCATGCATGTGAGGCAAATTAAAAATATGGCTTGGGTCAGGCACACCTTAGTCCTCCAAGCGACATCTTTGCTTTTTTTTTTTTTTTTAAACACTTTAAAGAGATCTTTTGCAACAGATTTGCCCAGTGCGATATGTTGTGTGATTTCTTCATGGCTGCTTCCATGTGCATTAATTGTAGACCCAAGTAAAATGAAATCCTTGACTTCAATATTTTCTCTGTTTATCATGACGTTGCTTATTGGTCCAGTTGTGAGGATTTTTGTTTTCTTTATATTGAGGTGCAATCCATACTGAAAGTTATAATCTCTGATCTTCATCACTAAGTGCTTCAAGTCCTCTTCACTTTCAGCAAGCAAGGTTGTGTCATCTGCATATCACAGGTTGTTAATGAGTCTTCCTCCAATCCTTATGCTGCATTCTTCTTCATATAGTCCAGCTTCTTGGATTATTTGCTTGGCATACAGATTGAGTAAGTACGGTGAAAGCATATACAACCCTGACACACACCTTTTCTGATTTTAAACAGTATCTCCTTGTCCTATTCAAAATGATTGCTTCTTGGTCTATGTACAGGTTCCACATGAGCACAATTAAGTGTTCTGGAATCCCAATTCTTCGCAATGTTATCCATAATTTGTTATGATCCACATAGTTGAATGTCGTTTCATAGTCAGTAAAACCCAGGTAAACATATTTCTGGTAGTCTCTGCTTTCAGCCAAGATTCATCTGACATCAGCAATGACATCCCTTGTTCCACATCCTCTTCTGAATCTGGCTTGAATTTCTGGCAGTTCCCTGTTGACGTACTGCTGCAACTGCTTTTGAATTATCTCCAGCAAAATTTTATTTTCATGTGATATTAATGATAGAAAAACCCCAAACCCAATCCATTGAGTTGATTCTGAGTCATGGCAACCCTATAGGGTGGAGCAGAACTACTCCACAGGGTTTCCAAGGAGCGGGTGATGGATTTGATCTGCTGACCTTTTGGTTAGCAGCCGAATGCTTAACCACTGCACTGCCAGGGCTCCTGATAATAATGATATTGTTCGATAATGTCCCCATTCTCTTGGAGTATCTTTCTTTGGAATGGGCACAAATATGGATCTCTTGCAGTCGGTTAGCCAGGTAGCTTGTCTTCTAAATTCTTGGCATAGACGAGTGAGCACCTCCAGTGGGGCATCCTTTGTTGAAACATCTCAGTTGGTATTCTGCCAATTCCTGAAGCTTTGTTTTTTGCCAATGCCTTCAGTGAAGCTTGGACTTCCTCCTTCAGTACCATCAGTTCTTAATCATATGCTACCTCCTGAAATGGCTGAACGTTGACCGATTCTTTTTGGTACAGTGACTCTGTGTATTCCTTCCATCTTCTTTTGATGTTTCCTGTCATTCAGTATTTTACCCATAGCACCCTTCAATACTGCAACTCAAGGCTTAAATTTTTTCTTCAGTTCATTCAGCTTGAGAAATGCTGAGTATATTCTTCCCTTTTGGTTTTCTAACTCCAGGTCTTTGCACACTTCATTATAATAATACTTTACTCTGTCTACTCAAGCCACCCTTGAAATCTTCTGTTTAGCTCTTTCACTTCATCATTTCTTCTATTGGCTTTAGCTGTTCTACACTCAAGAGCAGGTTTCAGAATCCCTTCTGATATCCATTTTGGTCTTTTCTTTCTTTCCTGTCTTTTTAATAACCTTTTGCTTTCATCATGTATGATGTTCTTGATGTCATTCCACAACCTGTCTGGTCTTCCATCATTAGTGTTCAATGCATCAAATCTATTCTTGAGATGGTCTCTAAATTTAGGTGGGATATACTCAAGGTTGTATTTGGCTCTTGTGGAATTGTTTTAATTTTCTTCAGCTTCCACTTGAACTTGCTTATGAGCAACTGATGCTCTGTTCCGCAGTTGGCCCCTGGCCATGTTCTGACCGATGACATTGAGCTTCTCTATCGTCTCTTTCCACAAATGTAGTCAATTTGATTGCTGTGTATTCTACCCAGCGAGGTCCACGTGTACAGTTGCCATTTATGTTGGTGAAAAAAGGTATTTGCAATGAAGAAGTCGTTGGCCTTGCAAAATTCTATCATGCGATCTCTGGTGTCATTTCTATCACCAAGGCCATATTTTCCAACTACTGATCCTTCTTGTTTCCAACTTTCACATTCCTGTCACCAGTAATTATCAATACATTTGATTGCATGCTTGATCAATTTCAGCATGCAGAAGTTAGTAAAAACTTCAATTTCTTCATCTTTGGCCTTAGTGGTTGGTACATAAATTTGAATAATAGTCATGTTAACTGGTTTTCCTTGTAGGCATGTGGATATTATCCTATCACTGACAGTGTTGTACTTCAGGATAGATCTTGAAAAGTTCTTTTTGACAATGAATGCGAGGCAATTCCTCTTCAGTTTGTCATATGATTGTCCGATTCCAAATGGCCAATACCGCTCACTCCATTTCTGCTCACTAATGCCTAGGATATTGATCTTTATGCGTTCCATTTCATTTTTGACCACTTCCAATTTTCCTAGATTCATATTTCGTACATTTCACATTCCAATTAATAAATGTTTGCAGCTGTTTCTTCTAAGTCATGCTACATCAGCAAATGAAGGTCCTGAAAGCTTTACTCCATCCATGTCATTAAGGTTGACTCTACTTTGAGGAGACAGCTCTTCCCCAGTTGTATCTTGAGTGCCTTCCAACCTGAGGGGCTCCTTTTCTGGCACTATATCAGACAATGTTCTGTTGCTATTTATAAAGTTTTCACTGGCCAATTTTTTCAAAAGTAGACCACCAGGTCCTTCTTCCTAGTCAGAAGATTT